CTGTTTAGGTCAAAAATATGAAGATTGGAAAAACTTTGGCGGTTGTTGTGAAACAAACAAAATAGCTCAAACCCCAACGCCAAAACACGACACTCTACTTGTCCGAAGCACTTTTCGGTAACAAGATTAGTTCACTTCAGTCCCTGAAGAAGGTAACCTTGTTACCGAAAGTGTCGTGTTTTGCCGTTGGGGTTTGAGTTATTTTGTTTGTTCTACTGTTTAGGTCAGTTTAAAACTTTTGCCAGAAATGCTGTCGATTTTGCAAATGTTTTTTCCTTTGAATGATACTATCGATACTGAGTTTTTGGTTATAAATTCGAAGATATTTTAAACATAATTTTTTTCATCACATCATCCGTGTTGATAATCACCTTGATGTAATATTTTTAAATTACTCCACCTGTAGGGAGTCAGATCATGATTGGATTTTCGATTCTAGAATTTTCAACAATGGTCTTCTTTTAGGGCATGCTGTTGTTGATGTTCATGTATCTTTGCATGATTATATTTCTTCCATTTCAACTTCTCCATATCCCAGGTTTGTTTGCAGATCATATTACATTGCAATAATGATTCGTAGCCTTAACTAGATGTTTTATGTTGTATTACCGGAGTCATACTTTCAATTTATGGATTAAGCTACAGTTGTAGACTGGACCCACAATCGCTTCAGTGAAAATTTTTGCTAACCCCTCTGCATCTGTGTACGTAATTATTGGTTGCACGATGAACAAAATTCATATTTTTCAACATGTAAAATCGTACCGAAAGAGAAATTTTGAAATTCATAGGGTTCTAATTAATATTGGAGTTTCTGGTTGGGTAAATTCAAAAATTCTTTTAAAATTTTCATTTTGACTTGGTATGGCATGACTTATTTTATAATGGCATGTATGTAACGTACATATACAGGGCGAAAACTAATACAGATGGTAAAAACGTTTCACCTTCGAGACGAACGGGTTTCCAATCTTCATGTCTCATTTCTGGCATGTTATATTGGACAATTTCACAGACACGACAAGGACCAGAAGGTGCAGCAGGAGGGGGGGTACGTTCAACTATGCAAAATGATAAAGAGGAACTTTAGTTTTCGGCATAAAATTTACAATACAATTTAAATGATATTTATCACCAAACTGCTGAAGAAGCTGTTTGAGTGCTTTGTTTCGATATTCTTCTTATCTTAGAACAATGGCCTTGGTCAAAAACTACATTCATAATCTCAAGTTAGTGCCAAAATGACTAAAGTACTTTGAATAAAAGAAAAACGGTGGTTTGTTACTACCAGTGGAAGGTCTGAAACCACTGGTGTTGAAGATACTACAGTACCTACTACAATTACACAGGTCTGCGATAAAAAAGTTTTTTGTATAAATTTATCTTAAGCATGCAAATGTTGGTCTATATTTTGCAAATATAAACTTTGTTTTAACGTATCACGTCACATTTTTTTTGTATGTAGATTAATATATGTATATATAAATAGTTCTTTGAATCGGCAAATTTATTTGTTTTTTCACAAAATTCATTTTATAGCATATATTTCTATTTAATACTCTCTGACTGAGCATTATATTGTCTTTTACTTTATTTTAGATAGTCTAAAAGTAACTATAGTCGTTTACACCGCCTGAAAAAAAATTGTTTATAGCGCGCCATTATTGAGAGAGATATAATAAATACTAACGTCTAATAAAAAATTGTGTTTCATTTAACTTTAACTATGGCTTCTGTAAAAACAATTCAAAAGTATTTTTTTACATTTGCGGACAATATACAATAGTTGG